GCTCGACGGGCACGGCCCGACCCGGCAGCGCTCGGCGCCGGCGCCGCCCCGCGCGGCTCCGCCCTGAGCCCGCGCGGCTTCCGGGGCACCGCGGCCGCCTGGAGACCGCGTGGCGTTGCCAGGGGGAGGCGGCGGCCAGCGCGGGTCGCATCGGCACCGGGCAGCGCGGGTCGCATCGGCACCGGGCGCGCCTCAGCACCACCGGGGCTCAGCACAAACCTGGGCTTAGCATCTGCTGGGGCTCAGCATCCACCGGGGCTCAGCTCAGCGCTCGCCGGGGCTCGGCACAAACCTGGGCTCAGCATCCTGCGGGGCTCAGAACCGCCCGGGGCTCAGCACCTACTGGGACTCAGCATCCTCCCGGGCTCAACTCGGCACCTGCCTGGGCTCAGCACACACGTTGGCTCGTCACCCGCCACACCACAGCCCCAGCCCCCTGCTGCTTCTTGGGAGGAAAAATGTTCCTCCTGAAACACCTTGCACCCCAAAAGTCTCTATGTTTCCCTGCTTTTGTAGGAAATATGATGGAGAATATTTGCTGTGAGGGTGGTGAGGCCCTGATACAGGTTGCCTAGAGAAGCTGGGGCTGCCCCATCCCTGGAAGTGTCCAAGGCCCAGTTGGATGCGGCTTGGAGCAACCTGGGATAGTGGAAGGTGTCCCTGCCCACAGCAGGCAGTAGAACAAGATGATCTTTAAGATCCTTTCCAACCCTTAATTTTCTATAATTCTATGGAGGAGAAACCCCTGGGGTCATCACTTGGACACTCTCAGACTGCTGCTGCTGAAGAACTTGGTATTTTCCAGAAGGATTTTTTAAACTGCCATATTGAGAGAATCATAGAATCACAGACTGGTTTGGGTTGGAAGGGGCCTTAAAGACCGTATCGTCCCACCCCCTGCATGGACATCTTCCACAGAATCAGGTTGCTCATTCCTTGAAAATGGTTAAAATGAGGAAAAGCTTTATCCCTGGCATGCAGCCCCCCAGCCTGGGGACAATCTCATTATCCAGCCACACACATCACAGCTTGTCAGCTCTTGGACCCCACCAAGGATGAACCACAGCTCTGTTTGGAAAAATCACTTGGAAAATGTGTCCTGATCCAGAATTTAGGCATTAAAATTATACATTTCTTTTAGTACCTCATATTCCTGTGGCCAAGCTTGGAAATTTTCCCCTGGCACCATAATTAACATGAAAACAAAGCCCAGTTCCAATGAAATTGGTACTATTTCACTTTAGCTTTTTTCCTGGCTCTTTTTTTTTAAATATTTATGTGTAACCAGCCAACTCGGGTATAAGGTTAATAAAGGATTAATATTTATTTTTAAACCATTTAAGTTTTCGATATTAATATCAAAATTAGAATCTCAATCCATCCACCTGAACAGCCTGTCTTGGCAGCATCATGTCGAATGCCATCCTGAACCTGTGTTCCAGGATGAGCTTATTTTGCTTATTCTTTGTGAAATTAGTTGTGGAAATTAATAATAATACGGATATCACAACATCCCCCCATCTTTGATGAAAGGGAGAGGCACTTTTGTGATTCAGCTCCCATTTTTTCTGCTCTGAACCATCTGGGCCCTTCCAAGGAGCATCTTAATTCTGAAAAATTATTTATCATCAATTTTAGTCCAAGTAATTCTTTTGCTAAGTCCTATTAAACATGGGGATTCTCATTAGCCCTGCGCTAATCCCTTGGGAGTTTATCCGAAGACTGGCCTGCATGTGGAATGACACATGAAGGGAGCTCAAAGCTGACCCCAAAACGTTTTGGATGGGTTAGGCCACCCCAACAGAGGTTTTACTCAGCTCCTCATCCTCGACCAAAGACAGGTAAGAACCCAGACCAATTCCCAAGCGCCTTATTAGGAACAGAAATGAAACATCCTGCTTTTCTTCTTGGAACTGCTGCAGCATCTCCCGTCGGGATGAAGCGGCTCGTGGCCGGCTGGAGCTGGTGGGCAGGACAATCCCCCTTTGTCCAGAGCAGCAGGAAGGACAATGAAGCTCCTGTTGAGGATCAGGCATAGGGAGGCACCACCCCAACACAACAGCGTGGGCAGGGGGACCCTGCAGACACAGACCTTGGATCCTTCTGGGAAATGTGCAAAGAGGGAAAAATCAAAGCCCAAGGGAAAACAAAGATTAAAATGACATTTTTTGGCAGAGGAGTGAGAGCAGAGGAGCAACCACATAGAGCAAGAGGGTACCAGGGTCTCATCCTCTCTCCCGATGGAAACAGCCCTGTAATCACTCAATCCAGCACAGGACTACACATGACCAAAATTAATTTACCAAAATTAATAGTACTCTGGTGTGAGAGGGAGTCTGGTGTGACTCTCTTAACCTAAGCAGGCAGCACCTGAACACAGACTCACGGAGTCCACGGCAGAGAGGCTTCACACCGAGGAGCGGGAAGCGAAAAATCACGGATACAAATTGGACATTTTTTTTTTTTTAGGAAAAGCCTTGGAAGTCAGAAAAAGCTTTGCAAACCCCTCACATGGGGGATGAGGCCCCGAGGTTTGGCGCTAGATTTCCCCTGGCAGGGTGAGAGGTCAGCAGCTGCCGGCCCGGCCCCCTCCCCTCCGGCTGCTTCCCCACGGCTTGGACATCTGCTGTCCCCGCCGCCCAGCTGCCCCCTGCACCGCTCCAGCAGGAGCAGATCCCTCCTTCCAGCTACATCCAACAGAAATGTGCCGTCTGGCCTGGTTCGGACACGAGGAGAGAAGGGGGTGGCAGGGAAAAGCTAAAACCACTCTGGAGCAACAGCAATTTGTAATTATCCCTACTTGGAAAAGCCTTAGGCTATGGGGATGGGAAAGGATGGCATCTGTCCCGTCACTCTCTCTTGCCCAGACAAAGATAATTTTGCCCCCTAAGCTTTAAAATTCAACATATTAGACCCTCAGGAATTCTTATTTTCTAAACACTTCCATCTCATCTCCTAAACACTTTGTGTGCTCACTTTGCAGCTGCTTTTGGAGCATCCACGAGCTCCTGCAGAAACACACATCCAGTTGTGCCAGCAGTGAATCCTTTGTGATGTAGGTACATCCAGCATCCCCCAGGAAAAGTCTAGGTGTCCCCAGCCTGGGTCAAAAGGACCTTCAAGCATGGGTGGGAGGCTCAGCTGAGGACAGTTTATTGCTCATTAGTGCTCTCAAGGCTGCAACATTCTCAAGGCCAGGGGTCAGATGAGTAATTTGTAATCTTGACAGAAAATTCCATGTGTTGGGATGGGTATAAAATCTGCTGGGGGAGCAGGTTCCCCTCACTGCCCACTCCTGTCCCTCCAGCACTGCTGGGTTTAAGCAGGACACAGGGACTCAGCCGGTGACACGGTGGGTGATTTTGCTGATGCCACTTCCTTATCTGGTGAGATAACACAGACTCTCAGGAAATGAGCAATTCCAGTCTGTCATCCATACATTTATATATTCCCTGCACATTGCCTAAGTAAATAAACTGGTGCAAGGCAGAACGAGCCTTGCCCTGGTCCCTGGCAGAGCCTGCGTTCGGAGCTGCAGAGGCTGCTGACATCTATGGTCAGCCCGAGGTATTGACGCTTAAAAGTATCGGAATCACAGACTGGATTGGGTTGGAAGGGACATTAAAGCTCATCCTGTTCCACCCCCTGCCATGGGCAGGGACACCTTCCACTAGACCAGGCTGCTCCAAGCCCTGTCCAGCCTGGCCTTGAACACTTCCAGGGATGGGGCAGCCACAGCTTCTCTGGGCAACCTGTGCCAGGGCCTCACCACCCTCGCAGCCAAGAATTTCTTCCCAACATCCCATCTAACCCTGCCCTCTGGACCAAGATGATCTTTAAGGTCCCTTCCAACTCAAATTATTCTGGGATTCTGTGATTCAGGTCTCCACCAGCTATTGCTCCTTGACCTGGGAGAGCAGCCTTGATATAACTCCAGCACAAGCAGCTCATTATCCTTCTCCCCTCCCCACCTTGATGTTCACAGCCCTCCCGGGGCACTAAACACGGATAACCCCAGAGGGGAGTCAGGGGACGAGCAGATCTGATCAGAGCCCAGCAGTCTTGGCTGTTTCCCAGGCAGTTTCAGAGGAGAAATGGAGATTGAGGATACAGCTAATTTGGAAGGTGAAATGGCCAAAGGAAGAGCCGCCCACGGTGCTGCTGTGGCTGTGGGACATGGCACTGGGATGATGTTTTGTGTGATGTCAGGGTAGAGAAGTCTGTGCTTTGTACAGCATGTTACCACGAGCTTATCCCCCTTAACTGACAAAAGTTCCAAAAATTTCTATTAAAGAGAAATCATCACTTACTATTTCTCATTTAACCACCTCAAACTGCTTTTTTGTGACATCCCTCCTTTTTATCTGTAGATTTTTTAGGAAGAGGCTTTGACAGCAGCCACCACTTTCCCCACCATAACCACACCAGGCTGACATACTAGAGCTGCCACTAAGTTCTCCTCATGTGCTAAATTCAAATTTAAATCTCATAAATTCCCCTTTTCATCCACTCAACGCTACTCTGATCATTTGTGGAGCTTCTAAGGAAGAGCAGAAGCAGAACTCTCAAGATTAAGACCCATCACAAGACCCCATTCACTTTTTTCCTATAAATTACCCCAAAAATTGTGTGGGAGCCTCAGGCACTTCACAGTAACAAGTTTAACTTTGTTTTAGCCTTTTATTGCTCTCCAAGCTTTTGGGGTTTTGATTCTTTAGAACAATCCCATTTGTTTTAATTAAACTCCACCTCTAATCATAGCAAGTGCCAGCTGCCCATCCACCTCACTGGGGTCTTTCCAAATCCTGTTTCCCATCTCTGGACAAAGACATCTTCATTAACAGCTTTTTCAATAAAGACTCAACAGCGGTGTGTGCTCAGAAGGCTTTAATGTATTAAAAAAAATAAGGATCTGCTTCCTAAAAACAGAACAACCACGGCCATGCAAGTCCTGGACAAGCAAAAGGCAATCAGAAGATGAAAGATAAAAGCTGCCTGACATGAAGGAGGCACTGAGGAACTCAAGGAAAACCAGATAAAAACTAAACCAACGATTTACACTGAATGCTAAGTGCCAAAATGTATAAATTAATTAATTTCTCCACAGTGTTGCTGCTGTCTGTCAGACTTTTAGTCCTGTACAACAGCTGAACGTAAGCCATAACAAATTATAAAAAACTGTAAAAATGTACAAAAACCGGCTCAAGTAGGAGGAGAAGTTTATCATGAAAACTGAGGTCAGATCATATCTACTCCTCCTCAGAGGACTCTCCATCTTCGGCAGGATCCGGTGGCAGGGGCCGAGCTCTGTAAGAAGCATTTCAAAAGCATTAACAGAACTCAATCAAAGGTTTGAAAGGCCAACAAAGCCCTTTTCCCAGAGCCCGAGTGACCTAAATGACATTAATTAGTCCCAGACAGCACCTTGAGGCTTCAGGACTGACAGAAGCTGCTTTATCCCAAGGGCTGCGAGCCCACATGGATCAGCACAGACTTTCTTTTCAAACGGGAAAGAAAACATCCCACATCAAAATATCCCGGGATGGTCTCTGTGTGTTCCTGACCTGGAGGGCCACATGCAGGTTCCACACCTTTGTTTGGAAACTGCATAACTCCCGTTTCACACCTGAGTTTCAACCTAACTTACTGGCCAAAGAGGTTGTGCAGTTGAGCGAGTACAGCTCTTGCTTCTTCCAGAACACACTCGGAAGCTGCAAACTGTTTTGTATGGGGACACTCTGTGTTCTCTCCTCACCACATTTTCTGTTTCACCAAGAGGTAGGATGCACTTAAAAGCCTTTGTTTGCCTGTCCTGCAGGACAATTCCAGGCTGATTCTTATGCCCCCCCCCCCCAGGTAATTTAGGAGTATCTACATTTGGTGGAAAAATGGAAGTTCAACAGAGAATTGGAAACAGAGTGTCTGTAAGACAGTATTTTATACTGCCATGTTTTCAGTCAGCAGGGCAGAACACAAGTTAAATTTTGAGGTTTCAGCTTGGAAAAGCAATTCTCTGGCACATGGAAGTGGCGCAGTGCTCTTCTAAGCTTTTCTGAAACATCACTGAGCTTTGTAGGCACATGAAGTTAAGTCTAAGCACTGAGAACTTGCCTAAGCTACCCCACTCATACCCCCCCCGAGGTCCCTGGAGACAGATGCTGCACTTAGCCAGACTTTGCTGGAAACTAGGATACAAAGGTTTGGAGTTTGGAAAGTTTGTCAACTTTTCAGCAGTCGCCTGCTCCTTCACAAATTGTAGTTTCACAGCAGTCAGGGAGGAACACTAACCACAACTTGTATCATCCAAGGACACCAACACCCCCCTCTCAGGCCCCCAGGAATGTCGCTCTTGGGATTATTTCGAAGTGCCAGGGTTTTGCTGTTTGATATCACCCCCCAGACCACTCTCTGACAATCCAGTTTACAGCAGCACCACAGAGCCCCAGCTGCCCCATGACAGCTCTGCAGGTGGTTTTTGCTCTCTGCCACACTCCAGGGAGCCTCAGTTGTTTTTTTTTTTTTTTTTTTTAAAGGAAGTGAACGTTAAGTTTAAGTTTGGCACAACCAACCCCTGAAACTCCCCAGGCGTACAAAACCTGCCCTTCCACGTTGTGCTTTGCTCCTTCCCATTACCCCACGGGGCGACACTTCTGCGCTTCCTTCTCTCCTCTAATTGTAGGGATTTGTGCCTCCCCTGATACGCACCCTAGGCCGCTGCTCCCGGGCACGGCTCCGTCGGGCGCCCGGTTCTCCTTGGGCGGGAGCTGTAGGAACTCGCCGATGCTCCTCTGCCAGGCGGGAATCGGCCGCACACACACCGGGTTCAGCCCCACGGGGCGCCGGTCACCTGCGGGGAGGGCGTCACCGGGATGGGAGGGAGGGAAGCGGGAAAAGAAGGAAGCAAGGAGGGACGGAGAGAAGGAGGGAGGGAAGCAAGGAAAGGAGAGAGGGAGAAAGGAGGGAAGAAGAGTGGGAGGGAGGGAGGCAGGAAAGGAAGAGGGGAGGAGGAAGGGAGGAGGGGAG